TTAACAGCTGCATAAACTTTTTTGTTCTCTTCAAACCACCCTAATCTTCATTCTAACTGGTTACACATGCCATTCAATATAAAATATATTCAATATAAAATATATTCAATATAAAATATATTCAATATAAAATATATTCAAAAATAGAAATAAATATAAATAAATTTCATATAGAATATATTTTAAAATAGATATTAGCAAATGAGAAAATTGTACTTCACACAGTTTAATAGTACGCTACACAATGATACATATAATAAAACATGTAATATCTCCATAAATTTGCAGGAAAACTCTTCAAACTAATTTCACTTGGTGTTGGCACAATTATGGAGCATTCCTTCTTTAGGAGCCATGGTTGGCCAGAGAAATCCCTAAATAGTAATGTAAAATTGGCCCACCCCTGCTAAAAAATAAATACTCCCTAAACAAAAAGAATATCCTTTAATTTTAATAAGAAGAAAAACAATATGTTTTAAATTATGATAAACAACCATCAACACCCTGAAAACTAATTACTAAATGTAACTTTTAAAAAAATTATAAACTTGAACAGAATTTTAGCAAATTTTAGTTTACATTTTACATTAACTCTAGCCTATAAGAGTATATTTTTAAGATTTTTGGCCAAGGTTTAATTTTTATATCATATGGCTTAAAATTTTATATGAGTTGAATAATTTAAATGTCAGCAGGGTTGTAGATTTTTTTTTCAATATTTATTTTTCAAGTTCCAAACAAAATTAATATTTTTTCTTATAGATTCAAGAGAAATTTATAGAGAATGTACTGTATTTAAACTAGATATATATTTTTCAATTGTATGGGACTGAACATGCATATGTCAAATATAAAGAGCTGAAGATTTCTTAATATATTTCTAATGTTTTTGTTAGGATCGGCAACATATTGAAATATTTATGCAAGCCATTTTAAGTGCCACCTGCTACAAAAAATTAAATTTCATATAAAAACAAATGCTTTCTACAAGAAAATATGACTTTCTCTAAATTAACCCAAATTGAGTTTGTTAAAATGCTTTAATCTAATTTTCTCCAAAATAAGAGAAATACTCATTGTATTTTCGTAGTCTGTAGTAAAGGTGTTAGGAGAATTTTAAACTGCTAAAACGTTCCTATATTTAAATAGTAAATGATATAATTAATTGGATGAAGTTTAATGGTATGCAAAAAATGGATAATTTCTTTGTAGGAAGATATTTCTTTTCGCAGGAATAAGTAAATTCCGCTAGCTTTTTTTAAGTATYTAATATTCAAGCTACAACAAACTTTATTCACCGAGGTTTAAAATCGAACTATACTAGAAGTCACTACAGTATTATAGCAAATAATTGTCAAGCAAAACAATTAGCACAAAATATTTGAATAATTTCGTATTATTTTGGCTTATAAATAGAAAAATAAGAAAATATTCCTACGACATTTTGGCAAGATAATTAACGGACTTCTTGTCCACCAGACGATAACGAGAATATTTCTTAAGAAAAAAAGAAAAGTCTTATTATTTAAAATGATTATTTAATAAAAAAGATTTGTATGAGAAGCTCGGATCCTCTTTCATCCATAGCAATGTCCCGTGACCTTAGCTACATCAAAGTTTATACAAGTCGTTTCGCGATTTAAAAAAAGTCTTTAAAAGGCTTCGAAAAGCCTTGTTACTGCCTTATTTCCATACAAATATAAGACATAACGAAGGTAATCTTAAATGGTCAAAATATTTTTCATTTTTATGGATTTTTATGGAATTTTTACCGTAGAATCCGTAGTGAATTTTGAATGTGTAGCTAGATAAACACTATCAATTTATTAAATGCTCCGATCCCCAAGCTGTAGTGTTCAAGATTTGGACAAAATTTTTAAAATTCTTATGATACGATTCTCTCACTACCCGGGAATTGCAATTATATTTGTCAATATTCAAGTTGTCAAGTCTCAGCTTTCTCTGCAAAGAATAATTCTTACATCAGTAATTATTCTATCTTACCTTCAAGTTCTTCGAATGTATCGGCCTCCGCCATGATTAAGGAAGGTAAATTCGATACCCTTAGTCGAGTATGAAAGTAAAACTGTAAGACTTGAAGACGGAGACTAGACCAAAGCGACCTAAACTGACAAACATCAAGGRAGTTTGTTTGGCCTAGTTAAAGTGAGTTGTTTTTTGTCAGTTAATTAATGCCTCGCTGATGAATATTTAATGCTGGACGCGGAATTCTTATTATGGTTGGGAGCTCATGCCAAMAGATTGACACCATTTTTTCAAAACATTGAACAAAAAACTCATTTGAACCAACGCATTTTATGAATTGTTATTTCATCATTTGGCTGCAACCGATTAGCCCCATGCGCARCCGTTTTTTAGTGTCGTCACGCAATACTGTGGAAGAAGCGTTGCGTGACGACTTTTAAACAGCCTTGAGCACAGGGAGCCCGGCTTTGGAATCTGTACATGAATAAAAAATAAATCAATAAAGTGCTTTGGGTTTCCTGTGTTGAGATTTGAAAGAAGACGCCAATGATAAATAAATCAATAAAGTACTTTGGGTTTCCTGTGTTGAGATTTGGTAACTTGATAGCAGATTAATGTAAGTAATTCGAGAGCAGCTTATAATTCAAATTTAACGTATTAGTGTAGTGCGTTACACTGATACGTTACGTTAATCTGCTATCAAGTTACTGGTAATACGATTACCGGAAATTCAATGTATCAGCGTCTTGTTTCAAATCTCAACACAGGAAACCCAAAGCACTTTATTGATTCATTTATTCATRTACAAATCCCAAAGCCGGGCTCCCTGTGCCTTGAGGAGAGTAGCTTCGACGAAAAAAAAAAAAAAACGAAAAATAAGAAAAACCCGTTAAACTTCGTTACTTTGAAGGTTTATTAGTTTCTTACTTTCGAATTCAGTACTGGTAATTAAAACAAAGCCCACATATAATCTTGTCATTGAATTTTTCTGTACCACAAAAAATGTTTGGCCAGGAATGATCACGTGGTACAAAAAACACCTCAGCGACCGACAGACATTTTACCATTTCTGTGATTTACATAATATTTAAATTCTATCCGCTCTCCGAACATCACGAGATGTAAGGATGTTTCGATAATAAAAGCCTAGGTACCGCAAACCTCAAACTGCAGTCAGACCGCATCAAGGSGATGTCAGTCAAACTTTTGACACATAGCTAGTGCGTCATGACGAGGTTGGTGCTGAAGAGTCGACATATTGAACAAGCAATGAGTCATTGATGCTTATTGTTTCTCCGTGTTTGCAGGCGTGGCCTGGGCCCTGCTGATCCTTACCAGTTAGCGGAAAACCTAATTCTCAAGGTATAATATATATCTTAAGTGAATCCGGGCTATCAAACGGCGAAAAAAAAWACTGTTTCATGGTCTACCGTAAAATAAAGCTCCCGGGGGCTAGATTGGGAGGATGGAACGGCGACTTTTCTTAGGACGARCTTACTAAAAACCCTGTCACGGCGCGGCGGGTTTACCTTTGTTTTCACTCTATACTAGGTCGTGATTGGTTAAGATAAGCTTTCTGCAAGTAGTCCCAGTTAGTGTGTCTGCACAGTAAACTTCGAAATCGCGAAACCATAGARGTGTCACGAAAATATCGTGTAATAAGGTAGTACAAATAATGATGAATACACATAGTTCAAGTCATTWTATTTTGATTAATTCCATAACACATATTTCATTCTGCTTTTCAATAACAATACTTTCGCTAGCTTTATTTAGTAATGAAACTATCTTTGCAAACAGTCAAAACAGTAAGCTATTTATCTTTGATCTAGATATCCTAATTACACTCATGTGACGTCATCGTTGAAATGTGCTTGTTGTTTATTTCAACGTGATTTGACCGTTTTTTATTTTTCGTGAAATGTGAAAGTGCCATTTTCATTATTTCGTGAAATCTAGATCTTTATATTATCCGTGAAAAAGGATTCGTAGCCCTTAGACTTTAGACTTTTATTAGACTTTTATTCTTCACACACAATGTTACAAGAAAACAAAGAAAATTGAATTAATTACAATGATATGAGTTAAGTATTATAAGAATAATATGGCTAAATATGAAATAATTAATGTGCAAATATTAATACAGGCTTAAAGAAAATAAACAAGTGGAAGTGAAGCGAGTAGATAAAATAATAACTAAGACTTGATAAATGTAATTATGTTTGAGTATTGAATAGATGCCCTTCCCTTCACTCACCCTCCTCCTTTACCACCCTTCACCATATATACTCACACTAATAATAATTCTCATCATATTGCCAATCGCTTACACCACCAGCATCGTATAAACTTTGCCTTTCTGCTTTCAAATCAGCATAACGCTTGATCTCCTTGCAAACTCTGCATTTCTGTTCACCATTTCGCAACTGTATTTTACTAAATTCTTCGTYTGGAAAAAGCCGTTGGCATTTGGTGCATTGAGTAGTAGCATGAGGAAAATCAAGCGTTCCTTTCTCGGGTATTATATCCAGTGGAAGATATGCATTCTTTTCGAAGCCGTCGAACCTTCTTTCGGCTTTACTGCGCAACATATTAGCATAGCGCTCAGAGGCAATTCTCAGTCGAGGAAGCTCTTTGTCTTTGGCACTTTTCAGCTTTTCGTACAGTTTAAACATCTCTAGAGTATCAACAGCACAGTAGCGAAGCAAGGTGCCTGGAAGTGGCCGACGTTTCCACAGTTTGTCGTTCCATTTTAGCAGCTCTTTGACTTCATCTTTTGTTTTGAGAACATTTTCATYTTCGATATAMAGTTCGATGCATCGACGAAAACCATAAATATTCTCAACTTCATGTTCTCTCTGACTGCGACGTCGTTGGAATCGTCTGTTTCCTGTCGACTGCGCTCCAGATGCAGAGCTTTCTCTTCTGTACATAATCTCAAGTAGTTGAACATCCAAAACTCCAGTCAACTTGACTTGAAACTGATGCCAAAGACTATCTGCATCTTCTCTGCAATCAAACATCAACTTCTCTCTCGACTTGTCTTCCAGGATTTCACGAAGGCCTTCGTCAAACACCGCTTGCTTCAGAACTGTCACATCAAATATGTASGCTTTCTCTTCGGTGGCCACGGTAATAATTGTTAGCTCTCCTTTCCTACTCAGATTGACGCCTTCACAATCTACAGCTARGAAAGCGTTTGATTCACAGCTTCTTAATTCGCTCAAAGATTCCTTGAGACTTGCTTCCGTGTCGACCAATTTGTAGTTTTGTGTTTTACACGCCATCTCAATCTCATTGAGCGATTCTTTCAGTCTTCTGAAATTATAGAGGAAATCTGCCAAAAAATAGGCTTGTTATGCCAAAGTAGTGGTGACAACGAATTTGAATTAATTCCTAGAACTGCGTAGACTTCACAGCTGCTGGACTTCGACGAAATGTAGCTTTGAAGTGTGACGTCGATCGTATGGGACTAACGACTGACTTCCGGGTCCCATACAAATAGTAGTTTTAGAAAGATGTTTATTCCTTTTTATTCATGACAGGATTAGTGTTGTCCAAAGTCTCAATTTTTTCAGGTGGAGGTTAAATCATTGAGAACTAGACCATGGTCCCAGGGTAAGCTGGGATACCTGGAGGACCTGGTTTCAACATGCATGGAGGATTTAGCATGGTTGAGCTTACAAAAATACTGATGAAGTATTTCGTGACGTCTCGGAGTAATGATAAACCAGATCCTGGTTGGGACGGTTTACTAGTATCAGGGTCTCTATATAAGAATCTAAAGGAGAAGTAAAAATAAGTTGAAAAATTCCGAACGACAGTGTTAAAAGCCGTTTACAGGCAAAGCGTTCAGGGGTGGATCCAGGGTTTGGACATGAGTAGTTTACTCTGAATTTATACCCAACCCACCATACCCCTATTAGTTATAAACTGCCTAAAAGGATACATCTACCATAGCATGCTGTCTGCAGTCAAGATCCTTGTACAGATTTATCTCAGTTGAAGAATCTAGC